GTGTGTGTGTGTGTGTGTGTGTGTGTGTGTTTGCGTGCGTGTGTGTGTGTGTGTCCTCTCACACCCTGACTAAAGTGAATCATGTACTTTCTCATATCACTGACAGTTAACTAGACAGGGGGCTCTGGCTGCTCTGACCCGTTTCAACCTTGTCACACGTTCAACTTTTAACTTTTACTTTTGTCTCTGTCATTTTACTTTCACCCCAAACGCACTTTTTTATTTGTAATGGATTTGTTCAGAGTTTATTTGAATTTTTGTTCTGTGTCAGGTTTCAGCAGTGGTGCCACCTGTCTACGCTTGACATTGATTATTTTATTTTAATACTAAATGAATTTAAGACGGATGAGTACATGAGTATTTATTTCTAAATCAAGTGTGCTACCCCCCAACTTTAGTAGTTCACAACCATCTGGCCATTTTGTGAATTATTTAATCATTTATTTGTTGTTTTATTTTTTGTATCGTTCAATCATAGTTCACTGTTTTTAAAAAGTCTGTAAATAATTCCAACATGACATGCTTAGGTCAGAAAATAGAGCTGTTGTTGTGTCCGTAGCCAGTGAATTTTGTGGCGTTAAAATGAATAAACATGCTCCATCAAATCATCTTGTGTTTTTAAGAATTTTTTTCATTGGACCAACATTTTACGTCCTTTCATTGCAACATGAATAAACAAAGTCTTTAGATTCTGCCATGACTTTTGGTTTTGATGTGCCCCCCACCTCATGGCTACCCCTGACAGTATTTACCGGAGACGCACCTGCATTAAAGGCCAATTTGCAAGTCATTAATTTGGGGGGGGGGGGTAAAAAATAAATAAATAAATAAATAAATAAAAAACAAAGGTAAATAAGTCAAACATTTTTTGAAGAGATTAACTGACATCACAGTTGCTTTTACAGCTTATAAAAATCAAATGCTAATAATCTTACCTCTACAAAAGCTGCTCATTATCTCCAGCTCTGTTTATTCCGTTGTTAAGGGTGAAAAAAAAAATTTCTTGACGCCTTGGCTCAACTTTCTGAGAGGGAGAGAAAAAAAGCGGAGATAAGTCAACAGGTGATGTCCTCCCTCCGTTTTCCTGAAATAAAAATCAACAAGCGACGTGACGAGCCTAACGCAGGACTTTCTCGCCGACTCGTGTGGTCCGTGTGACAAGACTGCATGACGGCGGAGCCTTTTTGTAGCCTTTTCCTCCTCCTCTTTTGCTCCCATTCCTGCCCTCCTTTTCCATCCTTGTCTCCTCTTCTTCCCTCGTTATCCTCTCCCTCCCTCCTCCTTCCTCGGTGATTCACCGGGGTTGACGCACCACTTGACAGAGCCGCTCAACCACCGGACTTGTCACAACTCATTCCTGCCTCTCATCCGCTCGTCATCCCGGCGAACACAACCTGACTGCGGCCGTTTGATCTGTTAATCCGCGGCGCTTTAACGAGGAGACGAATCCGCCTGGATCAGCTGACCGGGAGGCCAGGAGGACCAGGCAAACCCGACAGTGCAGGAAATAAGTCATTACTGCAATGCCCTCTCTAAATTATATGTAGAGTGGTTCTCGTGTGGATTTCATTTCACCAAAAATTTTGGGGGCAAATGCCATTTATTTATTTATTTATTTATTTATTTATTTATTTATTAAGATGGCAATAAAAATTGTTTTAAAATACCCAGTGAGTGAAATCGTGTTACAACAAAATAACTGAAATTACTATAAAATAAATTCGTCTACTTTTTAAAGTTGATGAGAGATTAACTATTAAATAAATAAGTGTTGAAACTATCCTCGAGGTATTTGCCCTTCAGTTTTAAATTCACATTTAAATTAATAAAACCCCTGAACGATGTCAACAAGTCTTTCATCTCTCTCCTTTCTAATTGTTTTTATTTCTTCCTTTATTATTATTTTTTTTTCTTTTTAAATCTTCATTTGGTTTTGCTGTTGCCTCAAAAATCCCACGTTAGAATCCCTTGAATCTCTCCTGTGCGTGCTTTTTCTCCAGCTTGTATTATTTCCACGCTCTAAAATAAGTGGGGGTATTTTTTAATCCAATTCACCTAAACATTTTAGGTTAATTAACGTGCTAATGTAAATTATCATTAGGTGTGAGTTCATGTGTCGTCAGAGGTCTATTGACTGCTTGGGATTACACCAAACAAACCTCACCATGCAACGACGTGGCAGCCAAATAGACGTTTCGTTTAAGAAAAAGCAAATAAACTACGGCGACCTTAACATGTAGAGAATAAAGCTGTAAAAGATTTAGAAAAATAAAAATAAATAAAAATGCATACTTAAATCATTGCCGCAGCTCTTAAACATAGTAGGCTATTGTTATTATTTTTTATTATTTTTTAAATAGCCATTTCATTCACGTTTAGAGAATTATATCTGCCTATATATATTTTCGCTTTCGTGCAAATAATCCCCACAGACTTTTTTTTGGTAAAAATCCTCCTTAATCAAGCCGAGATCCAAATATCCGTAAAAGTCAAGCGGTGAATGAGTTTGAATAAAGTGGCCTACTTATTTGAGCTGACAGTCGAGATCCTCAGGGCTGGATTATTCGGAGCAAAGAGGAGACCTGGGACTCAATTCTTGTTTTTTATGGAACAGGAGATTTATTTGGGAGAGCGCAGCACTGAAAGTATAATCTTACTTGACAGAGTGGGAGCCTTAAATGGGTTATGATTTAAGACAGGCCTTCAGGCCCTCTATTCAGCATGTTCTATTTGGTTGGTTAGTTTACTGCCTGTGTTTAGTTTTTTCACTTTTTTTATCGCATTCTTCTATGTGTTTAATGAAGACAGAATATAAAATAAAACTCCACTGGCCACACAGTTGTTCTTTCTCAGCAGGTTAATCTTGTCAAGACCTTGAAGAACACTGTTCTGTTCTTAAACTTATAAAAATGATATTGTGTATTTATTTATGCAACGAGTTAGGACATGTACGTTTGATTCTGAATAATAATAATATAAGTTAAAACTAGTCGCGCCTTTTCGCACTTAGCATTTAAAGCTCTTTTGGGTCAGAGTATGCAGTTTGGGAATAGACGTAGTTCTTATCAGAATCACTCTGCGCCCTCCTGTGGCAGTTGTTTGTTACTGCAGTCAGTTATGATCTGCGCAAACTCCCTTCCGTCTTATTGTTGTCAAATTTGAGTAAGCCAGTAATTTACCTACAATATATAGTTGCTTTTAATACATTTCATTACACGTTTTTTAATACATACATAAACCAATATTTTTTCTTTTTACTTAGCCGGACGTAGATACAAATACCGCTTGCTACTTCCTGTGACGTAGCGCTAGCTCCTGATGCTACACGCGGGAAACAGAGGCTCGTCAGTGAATGTAAGGTTTCACGTTTTCATACGGTACTTTCTGTTTTAGATAGAATTAGAGTCAGTGGGTATTATGAGGCAGCGGAGATTGCAAAGCGCTCCTGAGGTTCATTTCGAGTGATTTTATTTGACGTTTAAACCTTTTAAATTGTGATTTGTTTTCCTCATGCCGGCCTTGCTCTGTCCGGGCGCTTGATTAAACGTTCGATGTGTCTCTGCTGGGCGGTGTTGTAGCGCGTGTCGTTTACTTCTTTTAAGATTGCTGGAGCCTATCAAGCACTTTAACACAAAAGAAGTGCACCTCATGTATTTTCAGCTAGCTTAGCTGCTATTCTGCTCCTGGAAAATACACAACTGTGCTCCATTTCACTACAGTGAAATTACATACTCCTCCTTTATATTAACAGTAATTACAGTGGTACTACACCGCCGTTTGTTAGTTTACAAGCTAACTTAAAACTTTCGAGTCATTTGTAATAAATATATCTTGACGTCTTCTGACTTGAGTTTTGAAGTAGCACATGTGCTTTCCATAATCCCTGTGGATGTGTGTGTCTGATCCAGTTCTTGGTCTCTCTGTAGAGCATCAGTCATCGCCTGCACCAACATGGGGGACATGCTAGAGTTCAACGAGATCTATCAGGAGGTCAAAGGCTCATGGGTACGTAACAGCACCATCTTTTTACTATATGACCCACCCAGTTAAAACAACCTAATTTTGTTTTTAACCTGTTTAGACCGAAGCTTATAGTGCCTTTCAAAAGGATTCACACCCCTCATTATTTGTCATAAATACATATACCTTTTTTGCCAGCTAATGTTGTTTTTAAAAGTGCAGTATGAATAAATTTGATAACTTTTATCTGCTTTCTTTTTGAGTATTATGAAAAGGGTAACCCAGATCTGCGTTGTGTTCCTGCAGAATGACGGACGGCTGCGTTTCAGCAAACAGAACGTGGTTTATAAGAGCAACAAGACTGGGAAGGTGGACAACATCCCGGCCGGAGAGCTCAACCAGGCGCAGTGGAGGCGCGTGTGTTTAGGCCACGGCATCAAACTCGGCACCAGCACGGGGCACATCTACAAATATGACGGCTTCAGGGACACGGTAAGCTCTGCTTCTGTGTCTATTTAGCTAATCATTCCCAAATGACTCGGTCCGATGGAGTTCTTGCTTCTCCAGATTAAATATTGCTGGGAAATAAAAATGTTCCTCAGAACGATTGGGCTTTTCCTCCTGACAAAGCTTTCGTTTTAAAGTGTCTTCTGATAAACAGCTACCCTTCTTTCCCTGTTGTTTCCTACAGAAAAACTCCAGTGCGCTTGGTGTGAAAAGGGCTGCCATTTGGCTGGCTATAAGTGCATGTGGGTTTCTGTCAGAGTCCTGTGAATCAGTCGGTTCCTCTCCTCAAACCTATAATGGGATTAATGAGGGAAACCAGCGCCAGCATGCATGTTTCATAAACAGTGCAATCATCGACTCTTCTGGGTCGGTGTTTATGTCAATTCACTGGAGCAATTAAGCTCACAAAACAAGATGGTTAGGGAAAAAAAATCATTGTTCTTTTGTCTCTCACATTGTTTTTAACGCTCTTTTCTCGGAGCGTATGGAGAACGTCAGGATGCAACTGTAACACAGGGATGAGGGTGTGGGTACAACCTGCAGGCTGCGACTGTCTCCTGGGGTTAATCAGCATATTTTTGGTGGAAGATAGATCCTCTGGTTCTGGAGGAAAAGCCGTGATGTCATTGTTTATTATCCCACAGTTAGTGTCGGTAATCGAGAATTGGCGAGAGATTTAGCTGCTGGCGTGCGGAGCAGACAGTTTGATTTATCCGTCCCTGTGAAATGTCCTGAGGAAGATGGCGAATCTCTGCCAGAGAGTCTGTCGAATCGCCGAGCTGCGATCGTCTTCGGGAGGCTGACGGCTCCTGCGATACTTCTGCTCAGGCTTAGCAGTGAAACCTCTTCGGTTCTCGTTCTGTTTGTGCCCAATTGCATATTTCCATCGTAACAGTACGTAGCTTATTTTTTGGCAGAGCTGTCTGATATTAAAACAATGATGGTGATTTTGCAATAAACACATTTTCCTCTGTTTCCTCATCATGGTGTTCTCAGTCGTTTTCCATCAGGTTTAGCACTTTGGTATGAAATTTATATCAAGTGAGGACATCAGGATAGTAAAAGTCAAAGTATGAAGTTATTGTAAAGCTTGAGTTAAAAAATACACTAGTAAATAAATCCTCCAATTTCTTGCAGTTTCGTCTCAAAGTCCTCTTCATCAAAGCTCACAATCATCTATCATCAATATCTTCTTCAAACACTGTAACCATAACAGCTGTAATTTGTTGTATGTACAAAATCCTCATCTACAGTGTTTAAAGTCCAGTGTAAAATATGAACATGTCAGAGGTCACTGCAATACACACTTCTAAATGGATACGAATCTGCAGCATGCGTGTAAATGTCTTTCAAAAATGTCCTTCATGCGAGACGGTCTCACATCTACCAGATTGGCCGTCGTAGTTCAAATGTTTTTGTGAACACTGGAGGATACATTGTTTTTTATTCCTGTCACTTCTCTTATGTTGTTCGGTTTATCTTCTTCATTGTTTGGTACCAGGAGTGGATCAAAAGTAAAAGCAAAAATAGAGCTACAGTCCAAAAAAAACACCTTTTTAGAAATGTTATTGATTAGAATCACTATAAGAGATTCGAAGAAAGTCTTTGAAACCCAAAACACAGAGGATGTAGCGATGTTGTGTAAGTGAATGTTTATATCTGTGATGGAAATGAGATGTGTGTTGGTTCGTATTAAACTGGCTTCGGCAAAACAACTCCCGATTTTACGTACGCTTCTATTTACAAATAGTACAAACAGTTCTTTAATCCAGATCAACAAACATCCTTATGACCTTTAGTGTTCACACACACACACACACACACACACACACACGCATGCGCACACACAGGCTCTAATTGGCTCTAATATCTCCATGGACAGGCAGATACCCAGGTGCGTAAATTAGCTGATTCCTCTCTACGCACACTTGCTCGCCACAATCACTTCCACATGTGTTTGTACTGCTGGGATTGTGTGTGTGTGTTTCAGTGACCATGTGTTTGTCGCTGTGTGTGCGTCCTCTCCAGTTGTAAGCGGGCCTGCAGGATAAATAAACGAGCTGATTGTCGGAGGACAGACGAGGCGGATGGATTACATTCATCTCCTGTGTTCCCTGGCGGCACAGTCCCAATCACATTGTGATTAATTATCCACCGTTCCTGCTTCCTTCTGGGCTGCGTTGTAATGGGCTCTGACTCGTTCACCATGAAGTCTGTCAGGACTTCTCCGTCTACCGTTTACGCCTCTCATCTTTCTGTTTCTTTGCTGTTTTATTTTTTCCTTCTGCAGGACTTTGAGAAGCTGTCAGAGTTTTTCAAGTTGAACTACAAGGTGGAGTTGTCGGAGAAGGACATGTCTGTGAAGGGCTGGAACTGGGGGACGGCCAAGTTCTCAGGTAAACAAGCCGGCATGGAGTCACTGAAGGCAAACACACTTTGTTTCTACACAGTCCTTAAACATCTGGAGACCCAGAAAACTAGAATATGGTTTGACCCGTCAAACTTTATTCTCTTTTCCGTCATATAAAAGATTAGAGGGCTCTTTTATTCTGCCTTAGATTATGTTTGTTGTATTTGCCACAACAAGGCTTTTGAGTTGCAGACAAAATCTACAGAAAAATGCAGATTCATTAAAAATCCGAAAGTTTAATCTCTTTTGGTCTTTACATATGCGCTTATATCAGCGTGTCAAAAATAGACCTGTGGTTCGTTAACTAGACAAAAGTAAAGGCCAGACAAAGCAAAGATATTGTGGATAATAAAATCAATAATTTTTTTTCAACAAGTGTCCAGAAATATCTAGAAATTTGAGTCTGGGGAAGCATGGAAATGTCAAATGTAATCCAGCATCTCCTGGATGTTTGTGATTATTCAAAGTTGAAAGAGACTCGCTCTTTTCCCAGGACCGCTGCTGTCGTTCGATATCAACGACAACACGGCATTCGAGATCCCTCTGTCCAACGTTTCCCAGTGCGCCACTGGGAAGAACGAAGTCACACTGGAGTTCCACCAGAACGACGACACCGAGGTTTCTCTCATGGAGGTCCGGTTCTACGTCCCGCCCAGTCAGACCGACGAACGACAAGACCCTGTGGAGGTGATGCCTGATCATTTCCGTGTTTTAGCAGTTATTGAAAAGCGGTTCTGGGAACTGATTTGGCTTTATTAGCGTTGATGGTAACGTTGAATGGCTTGCGTGTTTTGTTTCCTCTAGGCGTTCGCCCAGAACGTTTTGTCGAAGGCTGATGTCATTCAGGCCACAGGAGACGCTGTTTGTATCTTCAAGGAGCTTCAGTGTCTGACACCCAGAGGAAGGTAGGAGAACAACAAAACCATCACTTCAGATTCCCACATGGTGATTAAAAACGTATCAAATCTGCTTTTACCATAACTATGAATATTTGTCCTCCTATTCTCTAAAGGATAAACCTGGTTTATTCTGAACAAAAGCAATCATTTGATTTATATTTGATTTCCCACTTGATTTTAACATTTCACCAATCAAGTATTTTCACCGACTGATGCATTTCTCAAGCTCTAAATGAATAACATTTTTGTTATTTTCTAGTTCTTATTTTTCCAAATGGATGACACAGACTATCTTGTTTGTATGTTTTCCTAATAAATCTTCTTTTTTTGGTTTAAAAGTGAACAAAAAACAAAGACGTGCCACAGGATACAGCCTTTAAAGCAACAAAGAAAACATGCCAATAAACAGAATAAAAAATTACTTTTAAAATGTGTTTTTTAATTTGTCTGTCGTTTCTCTTTCGGCCTGTTCTTACAGATATGATATTCGGATCTATCCGACATTCCTCCACTTGCACGGCAAAACGTTCGACTACAAGATTCCCTACACCACCGTGCTGCGACTCTTCCTGCTGCCTCACAAGGATCAGCGGCAGATGTTCTTTGTGGTGAGTGAACGTCTCTTCCTCCTTTCCAGGTTTCCAGTTTTTCTGTCCTGGAGTTTCACTTCACTCTGATGTTTCTCACCTTCCCTGTTTTTTTTTGTTTTTAGATCAGTCTGGATCCTCCCATCAAGCAGGGTCAGACCCGTTATCACTTCCTCATTCTGCTTTTTTCCAAGGAAGAGGACATCAACCTAACCCTCAATATGAGCGAGTGAGTACGTTAGGAGAAGGCTGATTTTTATTGCCACAACCCTGAAGATGGGTCATTAAAGCAACACTGAAAGGCAATAAAATGGGCTTTTCAAAGTTTTTTTTAATTTATTTTTTTTTTTTTTTATAAATGAATGAAAAGTGTGCTATTTACACTTTTATTTAAATATATAACATAAAAGGTTTTCACCATTTTTAAGATATTTTTTAATGTTACTGTTAAAAACATACGTTATTAAAACATTGCTTATTTTATTTTTATGAATAAAATGTTTATTTTCTGTTTACACCTTTGTAGGATTTAGGTTTGTAAAAGAGTCACTTTGTAGATTTTTATCTGGATAAAAAAACAACTTTTTGGTTGAAACATGAAAAAATGGCTGTGGAAACGTTTTTCAAGGCATTCTTTACTGCCTTCATGCTTTCCACCAGGTGGCGCCAAAGCTTTGTAGGAGCTATTTTATGGTTTTTAGAGCTTTTTTTATGCTGCTGTTTCTGGTAAAGCCGAAACGGCTTTACCAGTGTGATAACCTCTTTAATTTTCTTCTCAGAAATCCCATCAAATGTTTTCATTCAGACATTTTTATTTTTTTCCTGTCAACTCTACCACAGGGAGGATGTGGAAAAACGCTTTGAGGGCAAACTCAGTAAAAACATGTCTGGCTCTCTTTATGAGATGGTCAGCAGGGTGATGAAGGCCCTGGTCAACCGCAAAATCACTGTGCCTGGAAACTTCCAAGGGTAGGATGCATCTCCAGCACGCTTTTTGAAAGTTTTTATTTCACAATAAATAAATCCTAGTAAGATCTTCTTCTCCTCCTCCTCCACAGCCACTCTGGCGCTCAGTGCATCACCTGCTCCTACAAGGCGTCTTCAGGCCTCCTCTATCCTCTGGAGAGGGGCTTCATCTACGTCCACAAGCCCCCGGTTCACCTGCGCTTTGAGGAAATCTCCTGCGTCAACTTCGCCAGAGGCACCACCACGACGCGGTCCTTCGACTTTGAGATCGAGACCAAGCAAGGAAACCAGTACACGTTCAGCAGCATCGAGAGGTGAGGCCGCCTCGTTCACACGCAGAGCCGTCGCTGTGTTTCAGGTTTCAGCTACGTGGAAAGACGACGGCTGCGCTGGAGAAGAAGAGGAAGAGGCTTTAGTGTTTATTAAAAGGCTTTCTATGTTATCAGATTGACTGCAGTATACAGACTCAAAAGCCCTTTTGCTGAAATAACAAAACACTCAGAGCTGTAATGAAGCCAAAACTGTACAAAAAATAAAAACATTTTGCAGATGAGATGGAAAAAAAAAAAAAGTCTTTGTCTGTAAAAATGTTAAAGCTTCACCACTTTCAAACTCTTCAATTTTAGTCAAAAAACATTTTAAATTTCTAATTTAACAAAAGAATTATCAGCAGTTTATTATGTATTCCTAATATTAATTTATTGGTTTCCATGGTGCAAAATCTGGACTTCCTGTTTATTTCCTGTGAAGCGACATCACCTTCCAGTGCAGTCGTTCTCCTCGTTGTCTTTTTAATTTCTCTTTTTCAAGTATTGATTTTTATTACACCCAAATTATTCTCCTTGTCTTTTTTTTTTCTTTGTAGGGAGGAATATGGCAAACTGTTTGACTTTGTTAATGCCAAGAAGCTCAACATCAAGAACAGAGGCTTCAAAGAGGTAATTTATGAGCAAATTAACCCGTCCTAGTTTGTACAATTAAAACGTTAGAGCAGTTTCCCTTTACAGATATTGATTCATGTCACCCTTCTCCTGTGTGTCTGTGTCTGTACCTCCTGTAGAAGAAGGTGGGTATGGTTGCGGGCGCCTCGTGTGGCTGAAGGAACCCGGGTTGATTGGTGTGGAGTGATTTCTGATTGCATGGTGTGCCGCTGATGGATCCAAGCAGTTTCTGGAGGGATAATCTTGTCAGATTACTTGATGAATCTCAAATGAACTATTGCTAATCATGAGCCGTGTGGATTGGAGGAGTGTGTGTGTGTGTGTGTGTGTGTGTGTGTGTGTG